CGTCGTTAACGCGCGAGCGAACTCCTTGCTGATGCCGTCATGTCTAGGTAGTCGTCCGGCTGATCGTTTGCACCGCAGTCCATGTCTCCCGAACTCGTCCTTCATTCGCCCCATTTACATTCATGGGGAGTTACGATCGGAGCGCCTAAACGTAGAGCGACGCTGGTCTGGAAATCGATACTTTCCAACAGATTACCTAAGCAAGCAGCTGGTAATGCGTGAATCCAGTAGCCCGATTCTGGTGTTGACACCGCCTTCAAGTGTGCGACTTCTGTGGCAGAGACACGGAGTGCTGAAAGGTCAGAGAGGGCACGCAAGGTCGCAGGAGTGTCCCAGGCTTTTTGGACGCCGTGGAGGGGTTCAGCTGGCACATCACTCAAGCCCGTAAGCAACTTCCAAGCCAGAGTTGCGGAAGTTGTGTCGGTCGGTGGTAGAAAGGGGCATAATTTAGAGATAAGCGAGCGCACAGAGGAAGCCGATGCCAAGTAGGCGGAGGGAGCTAGCTCCTCGGTGCGTCGAATTCCCAAACCACCCAGTCGAACCGGTAAAGATGTCTGCAACCACGTTGGATGATCCATTCTGACGTTGGTGATCTGCTCCACAGCGGCGCGGAAAGTTTGGTCTAGGGCGTATAATTCATCCGAAAACTGCCACGCCAGGGAGGTCCGAAGTAGGTGGACGATTTTTGGAACGCCAAGGCAGTTTTTCAACAAAAACAGTGCTTGGTGTTTTGGGATTAGCACTAGTCGTTCACACATGTTCTTCACTTCCTCCACTCTTTTTTGAGTCACAGGTGTTACTCCGGTGGGCAACAAAGGTGATCCCAGGAGGCTCAGCTTCTCTTTAGACACCACCGACAAACTGGGGAATTTCGTCTGGAAAATAGCGGCTGTAGATTCTCGTTGTTCTTCAGATCCACCGCAGATAAAAAGTTCACATTTTGAAAGGTTCACAGACAAACCGATTTTTTTGGCTTCCGCAATGAGGAGATCAAAATTGCAAAGCACTTCTTGTGGGCGGCCTCCTAGCGTCCCGTCATCCATGAACCACGCGTTTAGTTGCGTGATTAGCATATCCACGATATATTGCACAACCAGACAAAACAAAATTGCATATCTTACTGCATAGATTGCACACTGATAAGCTGCGTAGGCTGCATAGACTGAATGGTAATGCATACACTGCATTTCAGTCAGCCGTGGTTGTTCATGTAGCCGCCCGCCACAAAGGCTCTCAATTCGGTAAAGTGATTAATATATTGATCCCTAAAGCGTTACTGATTGAAATAATGGGCAAGGCGAAGTAAAGAAGTATATTTTTGTGTCTTGTAAATCTGCGCAGATATGTCGGCAGTGGCTTCCGGTTTTCGATTCAGATTTGATTTTTCTCCAATTAAATTCGGCATGTACGAGTATATTATGAGACTTCCACTTTACGACTGCGCATTTGCTTGACATTGTATAACTGTATTACAGTTACCAGTTAAAAAGGCAAAATTACGAGAAAAATTACCTGAGGATTGTTTTGTCTGCAGCACATATACTGTAATAAATAAAACTAACAGAAATGTAAACCCCACGAACTGATCTTTTTTGCAATACTTCCCCCTTTGAAAAACGTTTTTCCCGGAAATAAAGACCCTGTCTAATGCCCTTACGATAAATTATAACGCTGGGCCGCTATTCGATAAAATATGGTAGATCACCCTTTAATTAATGCAAAAACCACGCAGATGCACTGCTAGGCAGTGCCAATACCTATTTGAACTTTAGAACATTATTTTGGTCAGGTCTACGCGCTACACCACTCACGCAACTAGTACTTCGACTGAGCGCGACAGCTCTCGTCCGTAGCAAAAACTGTACCGACTCAGCTACGCGTGATTATTTTGTTGCTTATTTTTTATGTTTATAAACAAATAATAATAGACCGCACCTTGACACAAACGCAGCATCATTACGGATAATAATCCAAAAATCACAATTTGAGTTCAAAGAGCAGTATCTCTGCGCTAGCGCGGCACCTAGACTGCTTTCTCGAAAGCTTCGGCTTCTTTTGCGGAAAAACGCAAATGCTTTGAAAGGAATGCTGTGTTCAGCTTATCCGCGGCTGCTGCTTTCGTCCTACCACGACAGTACATGATAGTGTCATCCGCAAAAGCTTCGATCTCACAGTCGGTGATGTGCAACAGGTCATTCAGATATATGATAAACAATATCGGGCCAAGCACCGTGCCCTGCGGGACACCGGACACGAACGGCAACCAGGTGGAAAATTTTTTGTCAGTCTTCACGCGCTGTTGACGCCCGGTAAGATAAGAATAAAACCATGCAAGGGCGGTCTCACCGATACCAGTTTGCTTTAATTTTTGCAGTAGCGGCTCGTGATTGACGGAGTCAAACGCCTTCTTCAGATCGAGCATGGCAACTGCTGTAACATCACCTTCATCCATTGCGTACTTCCACGCTTCAGTGACTTTAACCAATAGAGTTTCGCACGAATGCCCCTTGCGGAAGCCGGACCGCCGCTGCGACAGCTGGTTGTGCGCTTGCAGGAAGGCGGACAGCTGGATTTGCACACAGCGCTCAAACACTTTTGAAATATTGCACAGTAACGATATGGGCCGAAAATCGTCAAGGCTGTGTGTGTTGTGGACTTTTGGTAAGGGACATACTTCGGCCATTTTGAACAACGATGGAAATACGCCACTACGCAGTGAGTTGTTAACCATGCTTGTTAACGGTGGCACCAAAATCGAAGCAACCGCTCCCAGAAGTCTTGATATACCGCCATACCGCCATATCACAGTTTTCAAGGTTCCAATTTGCCAAATTTGAGCAGACGCTGTCGAACAGGGCTTCGTTTCCAGTGAATTCATGGTGTGCGTATCCTGCCGTCTTGTTTGCGATACGGAATGTTAAATTGTTATTAACGGCCGCGGCGGCATCAGCACTAATTGCTCTTCGGTCAGTGCAAAATCCAAACTTTGTATGAACGCTCTTTACGACATTTTCAAACATGGGAAAGCAAAAGCTATTCGAAACTGGTAGAAATAACGCAAGTGCTCCTTAGCGGAAAGAGTGATGGGCTTTGACATCTTTGATATTGTAGTATACTGAGTTCACGTGTTTATTGTCCTTCTAATACTTTCCTATTTCTGTCCTTTGTCCTTGTCTTCTTAGCAACTTCTCTTGTGTTTTCCCGGTTCTCTAGTTACGATTCCTCAGTTTCCTTTCAGTTGTTTTCCTGACCATTACGATACAATAAAGATACGATTCCTACACATGACAATACATGACAATGGCGTGAAGCTTGTGTAATACTGTAGATCTCTATCATTGAAGTGTACGAGTTCTTTATATACGGCTTAACAGCGCTAGTTCGCTTCTTAATTCGTTCGAATATGGCGACACCAGAAACTCATCCCATCCTACGGTTTAATCCCGAGTCGATGCAGTGGGATATGTGGAAAGAAAACCTCCACAGCTATATCGAATTCGCCGACATCCCCGTGGAGAAGCAGAAAGGGCTGCTTCTGAACTCGCTGGAGGTCAAGCCATTCGAGATGCTTGTCTCGATGTGCAGGCCGACTGCCATCACGGACAAGAAACTCACCATAGAAATGCTGCTGGCCAAATTGGATACAGTGTACAACAAGTACACATTCAAGGTCGCGAGTGGGCACACCTGTTCCGAACTGTCCAAGGGAAGGACGAATCGCTGGCGGCATACTCCAGCAGGTTACGGTACAGGAGTACCGTATGCAAGTTTCCGCTGACATCATCGACCCGATGCTCAGCGCCGTCTTCATAAACGGCATCCAGTCGGATTCCGTCCGCCGTCACCTACTGATAAACGAATACCAGACCCACGAAGAGACCCTGAACGCCGCCAGGAAGATGGAAACCGGCATTGAAGAAGCTACGGCCAGTACGTCCAGCCAAGACCGTGAAACTGTGATGAAAGTCACAGCTAGCAGAAGGTCAACGGTTGTCAAGCAAAAGACATCCAATTCCAGTGGTCAATCCAGTGCAAATGGAAGCCACAAGCCACCCACCAGCAATCAAAACGAGTCCGATTCCGATTCCAGTTCCCTAAGCGAAGATGCGATTCCTGTGGATCAACCGATCACATGCGCGAGCGCTGTTTCTACAGGAAACACGTATGCCATAACTGTGGGAAGAAAGGTCATATAGCAAAGGCATGCCGCTCACAGAAGAAATCCGACGTCGCTACGAATAACTACATTACGGATTACGCACCGCGTCCTCCATACGACATACTGTGATTCCAGTTCCGGTTCCTACGACGCTTCGTCTCAGTGGTTCAGAGTTCACTAACTATATGGTTCTGTTGCCGTGGTTCTTGTTGCTATGGTTCTATGGTTTGTATGCTGCTAAATATATGGTTCTGATGCAATGGTTCAACCCAGCTCTTTTTGGGCGAGGGAAGGGAATGTAGTATACTGAGTTCACGTGTTTATTGTCCTTCTAATACTTTCCTATTTCTGTCCTTTGTCCTTGTCTTCTTAGCAACTTCTCTTGTGTTTTCCCGGTTCTCTAGTTACGATTCCTCAGTTTCCTTTCAGTTGTTTTCCTGACCATTACGATACAATAAAGATACGATTCCTACACATGACAATACATGACAGATATGATTACTCGTCTCTATACGGCATTAATTAAGATGCACTCGACGAATACACTGGAACTTCCACAGGTCTTGATAAACTTATCGTCGTACTCCGACCCGACTAATTTTTCGATATCTTCCGGCTTTAACAATTCTGTTAGTGCATCATCGTCCAACCACAAATACGCGGTTCTAGAAGTTCTGAATCGGAATTCATTGATTTTCACGAAAATTGCCTCCAGAGTAATTCGTTTGGCAGGGGAATCCGCAGTGCGGGAAGCTTTTGTAGCGTAAAACTAGCTGCTCCCTTCATCTCGCTCATCGCCACTCCTGCGGCTTTCCCCTGTGCCGTGACCTGTTCCCTTTGCTCAGCCCGATTGACCTTGACTGTGACTTTGGCCACGCCCTTCTGCATTGGTGCGCATGATGGCTACTTCAGTCACTTCCGTGGACGCTTGGCCACGCTTGGTAGTCTTGGCCAGCTCGTATTGCTGCGCCATCTGCAGGGCCTTTTCAAGCGTCGTGAAATCCTTGGTTATGAGATGCTGTTGCGTGGCATTGCTGGCCATACCGTTCAGGAACATGGACGATATGTTCTTTTCCAACACGTCTCCAGGGAAGTTGCAATTAATTGCATTCCGTCGCAGCTTGTTGGAAAACTCCACCAACGTTTCCTCGGCCTCCTGCTGCAGCTGGAAATACATCGCCCACTCTACAGCTCGTGTTGGTCTTCCGGACGTATGCCTGCTCCAGTTTATCCACAATCTGGGCATTGGTGTAGTCGTTCGGGTCACGCGGGCACCACATGAGTGCAGCATGTCCATCGCGTCCACGCCGAAGGCGTCCAGCAGGATAGCCTTCTGTTCATCTGTGTCCGTAACCTTCCTCAACTTGATATAGTTGCGGTATCGAAACTGCCATGACCTCCACGTCATGACCGCAGGTTCGAACCGCAGAAGGCCAGATCCACCATTCTCCTCACGGGGCGCTGCGGGAGCCGTCACATTAGAAGCAGTCACATTACCCGTACTCGGCATTTCTGCTCGCGGAGTATCACACTAGCCGTACCTTCACGCCACTGTCACGACTCAGTACTGTACTGCACAACCTCTGAGCACACACTGACCGCATATAGCGTACCACAATTGGTGGCAACTATATACGTTGCTACGTCACAATACTCATGGACGGAAATAACCCTTGGTCGCACAGCGATGTTGGTTACTTTCGTAGGCGGACTATAACCGCCATTAGTTCTGGTTTTAAAGACGCGGGACGAAGCCGGCATCCTCCAGCGAGACTGACGAAACGCTGAGGTCTGGTGTTACAGACGAAAGCAACGTCCGAATTACAGATATAAACTTCATGGGCCAACCAGTTGACTCCAGTTTTCACATCGTCCATTTGCAACTCTTCCCTGGTTAAGTCTTTTCAGTGGCGGCATTCAAAGCGTCCTGAAGTGTTGCCAGCGACTTGGTGCCCAGTTTCTTTGTCGCCACTTCATCTTTCGATCCCATTCTTGCCCTTGAGGTCGCCCGGAAAGTTTCATGTCTCCGCCTTTGCCCGAAGGTAACAAAAAAACTGGATAAAGGTGGCCTCTGGCTTCTGCTTGGTGCTAAAGAAGTGGGCGATCCACATCGTCGGCAACGTAAAAACAGAATCCAGGCGTGCGTATATGTGAAGTACTTATTATGTAAGTTTATTCATATTTATCTCTCAGACCTGAACACCAACAACTGATTTCTCTCACGACGCAAACGACCAACAAGATACGAGCTGGTACACCGACCTAAACCGATGCTACGAGCGTATATGTAATCTCGCGGATATTGGTAATTAATAATAAATATAATACGAGTATTATTAACCATAACGAGAGTCAGTTATCACAGTATAGGTCCGCTATCGGTAGATCCATCGGTTCTTGCGGTGTGCCATCTTCGCCGAAAGTTGGCTCCGGACTCCGGGCTCCGGGTTCCAACAGAAATGACACATGGTAGTCCGTCGGCAGTTTGATCATTAAGAGATGCTTCTTTAGTCTCAGCTCCCAGTATGGCCGTTCCATCGTGGCGGGATCGAACGACACGATCCTCGATAACTGTTGGCCCTTTTTTGCTTCCGCCTCGGCAGCAGTAGGGGGTTCGGATACGGATGGAACTGGAGGCATTGCGGTACTAGCATTATTTCCCGTACACATGTTAGCCTTATATTTGTAAATTATCTCATGCCTTCACGCGAATGTCATGTAATCAGTTCAAAGAGGAATATTTAAAGTTGTTTTTTTATGAATACATGACAACGCCTGCCCACTATTTTCGAAGCTCCCCGTTTGCCAGAGGCGGTTGAACAGGGCTTAATTTCCTTTGAATACACGGTTTGTGTATCCCACCGTCTCGTTTGCGATACGAAATGTTAACAGCCCCGGCGACAGCAGCACTATTTGCTCTTCGGTTGATGTATCCTCTCTATGAACGCTCTTTACGACATTTTCACGCACGGGAGACCGAAAAGTTACTCGGAACTGGAAGCGATAATGCAAGTACTCCTTAACGGACTGAGTGAGGAGTTTAGACATCTTTGATTTGATTACCATGGATACTAGTACGGCATCTAAGGCGCACTCGAATACGTTGGCATTTTCACAGATCTGGACACGGCGCAGTCGAATACGTTGGCTTCAGCTCTGGACCACCGCCGAGCTAACGGTGATTTCAGTTTTTTCTGAAATGCTTATGTGGGAGCTGGCCCATAAAGGCCTACGCTATATGACTTATACCATACAATGGGAAACCTACTCGACTGCACCACCCGCTCTGCAAGCAGAAACGGGCCTTTATATAGCTCTCTAAACACTCAACATACACGCAAGGCCAACGTGTTGCACAACACGTTGGCCGAAGAACGAACGTTACACAATTACAGATACAGAACGAAGAACGTACGCATCAACGAACGTACGCATTGTGTGGCGAAGCCCACACTTCCCTCCATCGTGGGAAGACACATAAACAACAGGCATGAAAAAGAGACAACAACAAAAAAAGTATAGAGAAGCAGCACAATTGTATGTGGAAAACATCGGTGTAAGAGTATATCACTAACATGTACTAAACACAATTTCTGTTAGAAGGGGAAAAAAACTTTAAGGAAAGTAAGACGGAAATTAAGAAGGAATGTTATTCAGACCGTAAATGTCGTATGTACTCCATGTGCAGCATTTATTCCGAAGGTAATTTCGCTTGTGTCCTTCTGTGGTTACGATAATCAAGCATACTTGATCCTTTCCGTTCGGATTCCTTTGCGGCAGATAGGGCATCGGGGGCGTTGTTGAGGAATGTCGCCACGGACAATTTCCTTTCGAAAATCGTCAACAAATATCGTAAACATTTTTGCAACACAAAGTTCGCATGTTGTGTGACCGCAGTGAAATTTTAGGATGTTGATCAGCGTCTTGAATTGGATGTAATTTCTGTAGCAAATCGGGCATTCAGTTTCCGTATCAGCTTGCGTGATTGATGTAGGAACTGGCGTTGTATCTGCTGTAATGGTAGCAGATTCGGTCGACTGTGGAGCTGCCAGAATTGGGTGTGGTGTTGCTGGAATTAGCGGTAAATCTGCTGGAATTGGCTGTAGCTCTGTCACAGTTGGCTGTAACGCTGCTGGAATTGGCTGTAATGCTGCGCTCGGACGTTGCGGATCCCTCGCTGTGGGTATATATACTTCGGGAATCCAGTTCAGAATTCTTTGATACTTGTCCTTTCGGCGTTTTCGCTGATGCTTCAGGATAATAGGGGGTGTTAACCATATTCGTCCATTTCGTCTCTTTTTACATCTTGACATGATAAGACGCAATGATAGAAATGTGGGTTGTATATAAAGCGTCAACTTCGTAAGTAACTCGAGCAGTATCTCCGTCGATCGTTATATCCAATTTGATAATATTCCGATTAGAACTTAAATAGATCATAGGTGGTAACTGATTGTCCATGTTTGTGAGTGAGAAGCGATTGACCAAATGGTATTTGCTTGGACCGCTTCGGTTTTGCCTAGGGCGATGTAAGCTTCGAGTCGAACTGGTCATTCTGTGTTGTGCGCGCTGAATTCCTAATTATTGAGTGTTTGCTCCGATGCTCTCTTTGTGAAGGCTGAAGTTCTGATGAAAATATTACCAGGGATGGTGTTTTTCACTTCTTTTAAAGCTTCATTTGTTGTAATCAGGTGGATCGCGTTATGCGACGATTCCGTTTGCAAAGGTGCACAGTGTCAGTTTTTCATTGGTGGTTGCACGAAGTGGTAGGCTCTGAGCGAAATGTGCGTTCTTTTATGTAGCTTAGATCTTTCTGTTGTAAAGGAGGCGGTTTTCTTCAAGGAAATGGTAGTGAGTAAAACGAAGAAAATCGATATCAATTATCAACCACTTGACTGCTAGGGTGGAAATACTATTATTGTGCGAGCGAGTTAAATGGGAAACGTAGGACCATCCGCGATGTGAAGCAGCTTATTCATCCTTCATCATCGTTCATCATTTTATTTTGCAGTTAACTGTGATCAAATGTGGTTCTTTTGGTTGTTGGTGTTGTTGACAAGCCTCGAAGCAGTTAGCTGTGGTGTTCGGCACATCACGTAGTAGCGTTGTCAGTCTTAGCTCCATGCTAGATATATGATGAATGGATTCCAGCATATGTGAGAATTGGAAGGGTGAGAATTGTGCGCAAAAGCATTAAGACTAATAGCTGGTGCTGTGAAGCACTCACAATTGCTGATTTATTTGCACATTTATTATGTTTACATCAAGGGAAGAAAACTACTGATAACACTTCGTTTGTCGTTTTAGCAATCTTCTGTAACTTAAAAAGTTATGTCGCACTTGCGATCTTTTGTTGAAAAAAATGTTATGTCGCTTTTGCGATCTTTTACTAAAAGAGAAAAAGCATATGCCGCTAATTGCGATCTTTTTTTCTAAAAGAGAAAAAAATATGTATTTCGCAGATGCGATCTTTTTACTAAAAGAGAAAAATTTATTCGTTTCATGCGATATCGCTTCATGTCGCTTAATGTCGCTTCATGCAATCTTTTCAAAAAATATATAACGGCTGTTTGCTGCTGCAATTGATTTTTCTGTTCAAATTAACAACGATTTGTATTAGATGAAGTTGTACATGCGATCGAAATTGTATAGAAAGCGGAGTAGAGTTGAACAGTAACTGACCGGTATAGTTAACGCGCTAACAGTTAAAAGAAAGCGTACAAAAAAAACGGAACAACAGAACCAAAATCGAATATTAGAAAAGGCGCTGTGAAGCGCTCACAGTCAGAGTAAATATAATGGTGTATACAATTTTTGCCGATAAATATTTAAAGGCATCTAACAATTCTGTCGCTTATGCGATCTTTTTGGGTGATAATGGAAACGTAATTATCATTTTATGCGATCTGTTTAAATGGTGTTGAAAATCTTCATTGTCGCTTTATGCGATCTTTTTTGAATGCTGAAAAATTAATTGTCGCTTCCTGCGATCTTTTTAAATAAAAGAAATTTTATGGGTCGCTTTATGCAATCTTTGTGAAACGTAAAAATTAAGTGTTGCAAGTTGCGACTTCTTGAATGGAAAAAAACTTAACTCCTGCTTTAAGCGATCTTTAGTTCTGATAAAAAAAAAACATGTTATTGTCGCTTGGCGTGATCTTTATAAAATAAAAAAATTATTTTCTTGTCGCTATATGCGATCTTTTGTTGAACGAAAAACAATTGAATGTCGCTTCGTGCGATCTTTTAAAGTAAAGTAAACTTTTATTTGTCGCTTCATGCGATCTTTTCAATTGATAAAATAGGAAATATGTCGTTAATGCGATCTTTTTGCTAAAAGAGAGAAGAAAAAAATATATGTCGCTAATGCGATCTTTTGGCTGCAATGTAATAAACGGCACGGCACAAAATAATGTCATAATAAGTTTAACCAGCGTGTGGATCTTTTTATTGAAATAAAGTATAATGCATCACGTTTTTGTATAGTTCTATCGAGTGTGTTGCTTCAAA